CGCAGCGTTTGGCTACGGGAGACTTGGACATTTGTTTCCACTGAGGGGCGGCCGCAATGAGGGGAGAGAAATGGTCTCTCCATTTTGTGTCCTGTAGGTCGGCCAGGTCCCAGGAATGCTGCACCTTGACACAGCACGAGTAGAGCGCTGTGTTTGGGGCACTCTTGAGGGGCACGTTCCTGCAGCCTCGGAGCTTCAGTAGCTTGCCGGAGTCGCTGTGGCCAGGGGGCTGCGAGCAGGAGAAGCACAACTCCGGGAAGGAGGAGGAGGGGGGGGGGGCGCCACCATCCCCCGGTGCCTCCAGCTTCAGGCGCAGCTCCTTCATGGCACGGAGCGACGTCCCGCAGCAGCTTCTCCCCAGCGAGCATGGAGCGGAGTCCCGCTGTGCTGGCGATCTCAGCTGCGGTCTTCCACTTGTGCTGGTGGGGCCTGCATGTGGTGGAAGACTGTCTGTAGTTCTGCTGATGTGAGGCATAAAGCCAGGGTCCTCTCTCCTCTGATCCCCTGGAAGAGGCCGTTGCAGAACAAGGGGCTCATTCAGGAACTGCGCGAGGTCGTAGGGCGCGTGCGTTCTGCTCCACTCGAAGCTCCGCCACGCGTCCAAGAGGCTCTGGTGATAACCTGGCAGCCTCGTGTAGTTGACCAGGCTCAGGTCCGTCAGGAAGAGCTCCTTTCCGTACCCCAGGCACCACCTTGCATTCCTCAGCAGGGCGAGGGCCGGCAACTTCCAGGGTAGCTCCTCCTGGTCGTACAGCGGCCGCCTGACTGCCCATGAGCCTGAAACTCATGACCCTGGCGGCGACGTCCACCAGACCCTGGCCGCCCTCGCCCACCGGCAGGCAGAGAACGCCCGGCCTGAGCCGGTGCTTCCCGTGCCAGACGAAGTGCGCGAGTAAGCGGTTGACTCTGGTGAGTAGCCAAGCAGGAGGCTGGAGGGCCTTGGTCTTGTGCCACAGCACGGATGCTGCCAGGGTGTTAGTGACGATCACTCGGCCCCTGAATGACATCTGCGGAGCGAGGCATGCCCATGCCAGTAATTTAGCCTCGATTGTGTTGGCCAGCTCGGTCCAGTTGTTAACGTGGAGAGAGCGAGCGAGAGAGAGGGAGTGAGAGGGAGTGAGAGAGAGAGCGAGAGAGTGAGAGAGAGAGAAAGTGAGTGAAAGAGAGAGCGAGAGAGAGTGGTTGAGGGGCCTCCGCGCCGTGCGGGTCATCGGTTGTATTTGACCATACTTCACCTGGTTTGGCGAAGGCGGGGGCGTATGGACGTGTGAGCCGCGAAGTACGGTACAACAGTGGGCTCTGCCGGACTGCCCTATGCTGGTTCCACAGCTCCGCAGCAGCCTGTGACACCCTGGCACGGGCAGTCCGTCCATCGAAATCGCTGGGTGAGAACTCAGGAGAGACACCAGGGTAGGAGTCTCATTGGCACGAGTACCCTGGGGGCACGAGTCTGCTGCCGGTAGCCACGAGTCTGCTGCCGGTAGGCACGAGTCTGCTGCCGGTAGGCACGAGTCTGCTGCCGGTAGGCACGAGTCAGCTGCCGGTAGGCACGAGTCTGCTGCCGGTAGGCACGAGTCTGCTGCCGGTAGGCACGAGTCTGCTGCCGGTAGGCACGAGTCAGCTGCCGGTAGGCACGAGTCTGCTGCCGGTAGGCACGAGTCTGCTGCCGGTAGGCACGAGTCTGCTGCCAGTAGGCACGAGTCTGCTGCCGGTAGGCACGAGTCTGCTGCCAGTAGGCACGAGTCAGCTGCCAGTAGGCACGAGTCAGCTGTCAGTAGGCACGAGTCTGCTGCCAGTAGGCACGAGTCTGCTGCCAGTAGGCACGAGTCTCTGGCAGTAGGCACGAGTCTGCTGCCAGTAGGCACGAGTCTGTTGCCGGTAGGCACGAGTCTGCTGCCAGTAGGCACGAGTCTGCTGCCAGTAGGCACGAGTCTGCTGCCAGTAGGCACGAGTCTGCTGCCGGTAGGCACGAGTCTGCTGCCGGTAGGCACGAGTCAGCTGCCAGTAGGCACGAGTCAGCTGCCAGTAGGCACGAGTCAGCTGCCAGTAGGCACGAGTCTGCTGCCAGTAGGCACGAGTCAGCTGCCAGTAGGCACGAGTCTGCTGCCAGTAGGCACGAGTCAGCTGCCAGTAGGCACGAGTCTGCTGCCGGTAGGCACGAGTCTGCTGCCGGTAGGCACGAGTCAGCTGCCAGTAGGCACGAGTCAGCTGCCAGTAGGCACGAGTCAGCTGCCAGTAGGCACGAGTCTGCTGCCAGTAGGCACGAGTCAGCTGCCAGTAGGCACGAGTCTGCTGCCAGTAGGCACGAGTCTGCTGCCAGTAGGCACGAGTCAGCTGCCAGTAGGCACGAGTCTGCTGCCAGTAGGCACGAGTCAGCTGCCGGTAGGCACGAGTCTGCTGCCGGTAGGCACGAGTCTGCTGCCGGTAGGCACGAGTCTGCTGCCAGTAGGAAAGAGTCGGCCGGCAGCAGGCATCAGTCGGTCATCAGTAGGCGGCGATGATTGCAGCTGCTTTGTGCAATCTGAAAAGGAATAAGACGCGCACACACACACATTATATATGAATAATAATTATTTTTTCGTAGGGCTGATGTAGACGCAGAGCAACAGCTCTGCGTCTACATCAGTGGTCTAGCCAGACAAGCGAGTCAGCAGGAGCCAGCGGAGGAGTAGCGTATCGCCATCGCCGCGATGTCTCCTTCTTCGTGTTTGCGGACCGGGGGATTATTGCGTTGCGCTACGGTCCGTTCTGGATGACCACAATGGCGCACCACCACCACCACCAACACCGCTGCTACTGGAGAGTTTTACATTTTGCCTCTGCGCGTCATCGGGTATCGCCCGCATTTGCTGCTGCCATGGTTTGCGCACTGGATGCGGTCCAGGGTGGACCATGAGCATCCGTCTGCTGCCAGTAGAGGCGTGGGGACTACAGATGCCGCGCGTGCGCGTGCATGGGCGTGTGTACACGCGCGCGACTGCGCTCCGTGATTCCCAGCTGAGTAATTTTGCGGTGTGATTTCGAAATATGATTTGGTAAATTCTGACCACGCCGTGGCCGATGCTCTTCGGAGGGACGTCAGGGGGATGTTTATCGTTTTCCTCGTGAAGCAGATGGCACGCAGCAGCAGCAGCAGCAGTGAATAGTATCCCCCTTGTAGCACGCGACCGCAGTATTATCCAGGGCCGGCCACCCGGAAGCCGAACCGCCGCTCGTTTGGAATGAGCGGCGAAACGCGCCACACCCCCCCCACCTCTCCCCCCCCCACGTCCCCCCCTCTCCCACACCCCCCCCACCTCTCCCCCCCCCCCAGGTCCCCCCCTCTCCCACACCCCCCGCACCTCTACCCACCCCCCACGTCCCCCCCGCTCCCACACCCCCCCCCCACCTCTTCCCACCCCCACGTCTCCCCCTCTCCCACACCCCCCCACGTACCCCCACCTCCCACCAACACCGTCTGCTTGAGATTTTCTTGGGAGCAAAAAAAAAAAAATGTTGCCCGTCAGTTTCCCCGCCGCCCTGGCTGGGGCCTGCCTCGTGGTGCCTGCAGCGTCAACGCTCGCAAGAGTCACAGGAGGAAGGCCCGAGTGACATCCACGTACAGTGACATGGAATGGGTCACGACGGAGCATAGCGCGGGTTGCTGGCAGGGGAAGGGATCTGCGGTTGCAGCAGCCCTGCCTGTCAGCAGGTCACGTGATAAGCAGAGAGGGGGATGTAGGGCAAAGGATGATAGAGGGAGGGGCACGAGAGGCGAGCCCGGGAACTCGCGAGTAGGTTCCATAAGGTGGGGTGGGGTGGGGGGGGGGGGGGGGCGTGGCCGAGGGGCGGAGCGAGGCCACGCCGGGAGGATAAAAGGAGACCCTGAGCGAAGGTTCGGGGCTGTCGCTTGGAGTGGGGTCCCGTCGGCTGCTGGAGTCTTCGTCAACGTCTTCACCTCTCGGCGTTGTCAGTCAGGCAAGTCCGTTAGCTGTCCTGACTGACGTGTAGTTAGCCCCTGTACCCTGTACAGGCGATAATAAGTAGAGTGCCTCCTACTCCTAGTGTCTCTGAGTGTATCTTCACTACACATACATAAGGTCGGTGGGGAGGAGTGGTGGTGGTGGGTGGGTGGGTGGGTGAAGGAGTTGCAGTGAATATTTGTGAATGTTTACGCAGTTGGGTGGCGTGGTGCTCCTTTTGGACGTCACAAAGTGGGTGGGTGGTGGAAATAAATCCGCGATAAAATCTCCCCCCACGTTGAATCGACAATTATTACCGTAATGGTTGCGTTGTCATTCATATGCGGAGTGTGAGGATGCCCGTTACGATTTGTAGTCCAGCCCCTATTCTGTAATCTCGCTCTTTGTCTCACTCCTCCTCTCGCTCCGTCTCTCTTGAGTGTTGCGTGTCGTTTGTGTCTGTGTTGTGTGTCATGTGTGCGCTGTGTGTGTGTGTCGTTGTGTGCTATGTGTGTTCGTGTGTGTGTGTCGTGTCTGTGTGTGTCCACGTGTTGTGTGGTGTGTGTGCGTGTGTTTTTGTTGTGGGGAGCGGTAGTGTAGTGGTTAGCTGCGCTACGAACCTGGCTAGCCGGGTTCGATTCACGCTCACGGCCAACACCTGTGACTATTATCTGAATCGGTCCTGGGCCTCTCCTAGGTCGACTCAGCCTCAAATGAGTACCTGGTGTGGTGTGTAAACATCGCCACTGGGGAGACAAAGGCGGCCGGGTGTGGTGCTGGCCACCCACCCCCTCGTGTGCCGTGCCGGCCTTCATAGGTGCTTCTCACGAACAGCACTTGCCCCAAGAGTCTGCTGAGGCTACACGGGAGATCTTTGTCTGTCCATCAGTCCATCCTATGTCTCTGTGTCTCTACCCAACTGTCCGTCCGTCCACGCGTGTGTCCGCGTGTGTCCGCCCCTCGCTCCATCCGCCTGTCTCGCAGTGCGCCTGTCTGTCTCTTGGCGTGTCCATGTCTCAGCGCGCGTGTCCGCGTTGTCTCGTCCGTGTGTGCGAGCAGCATGCACGGCCCCACAGGGCAGTGTCCGCACCCCCGGGTCCTGTCCAACCTGGTGTCCGTGTGTCTCGCCGCCATCTACTCCTGCTACGAGGAGTTCATCAACAGGTGACGACGACGATGGTGATGGTGGTGGTGATGATGGTCATGATGGTGATGATGATGGTGATCTTGATGGTGATGATGATGGTGATGATGATGGTGGTGATAGTGATGATGATGATGGTCAATCGTTTCGAAATCACTCGGTGCCTTGGCGTGTTATGCAAATCAAAAATCCATCAGCAGTTACTGAAGAATTTCGTAGTTCTTCAGGGTCACCGTCAAAATAGATTTGAGTGAGCGTGACGGACCTAACGATGATCGCAATGACGACGATGATCGCATTGATGACAATGATCGCAATGACGACGATAATCGCAATGACGACGATCATCACGATGACGACGATGATCACGATGACGACGATGATCGCGATAACGACGACGACGATGCCCCTTTGCCGATTCCGTTATTTCCATTTCCTGGCACCACCACCACCACCCACACACGCACACCCCCCCCCCCCCCACGCACACCCCCCCCCCCCCCCCCCCCACGCACACACACGCACCCATCCGTACAAACGCCGTCGCCAACCACGCCGCCGCCGCCGCCTTCCCCGTGCCTACCAGCCGGGACAACTCGCCGACGCTCAAGGAGATGTGGAGCGGCTGCCAGCAGAAGGTGGACTGGAGCTACCTCCTGCAGCAGAGGCTGTGGCAGAGCGGCCTCGACTCCTCCTCCTCCGTCGACGAGGCGACCTACGACCCGCGGATTCGCACGTGCGTCCCGCGACCTCCGACCCCGCCGCCGCCGCCCTCCACCACCGCCTCCACCGCCACCACCGCCTCCACCGCCACCACCACCACCACCGGGAAGGAGGCGGAGCTGGTGTCGCTCGACGGGCGGACGCTCCGTACGGCGGAGATCGAGATTCGGTTGGACGACGGAGGAGGAGGAGGAGGAGGGGGGGACGGCAACAATGACGATGGCGGGACGCAGCGGAAGAGGCGGAGCGGCAGCGAGGACAGCCTCATGGCGGCGCCGTGCTGCGCCGAGCTGAGGATCGAGCTCGGGCCGCAGGCGGAGAGGGTGCTCGCCTGCTTCGTGGAGATCCTGCAGACCCTGTGAGGCGGCGGTCGTCGTGGTCGTGGTCATCGTCGGGGGAGGGGGGGGGGTCATCGTCGTGGTCATCGTCGGGGGAGGGGGGGGGTCATCGTCATGGTCATCATCGTCGTGGTCATCGTCGTGGTCATCGTCGTGGTCATCATCGTGGTCATCATCGGTGGGGTTATCGTTGTGGTCATTGTCGTGGTCATCGTCGTGGTCATCATCGCTGGGGTTATCGTTGTGGTCATTGTCGTGGTCATCATCGTGGTCATCATCGTGGTCATCATCGGTGGGGTCATCGTCGTGGTCATCATCGTGGTCATCGTTGTGGTCATTGTCGTGGTCATCATCGTGGTGTCATCATCGTGGTCATCATCGTGGTCATCGTTGTGGTCATCATCGGTGGGGTTATCGTTGTGGTCATTGTCGTGGTCATCGTGGTGTCATCATCGTCGTGGTCATCATCGGTGAGGTCATCGTCGTAGTGTCATCATCATCGTGGTCATCATCGTGGTCATCATCGTGGTCATCATCGTCATGGTGTCATCGTCGGTGGTGTCATCGTCGTGGTCATCGTGGGTGGATGAACGTCGTCATCATTTTTATGATCATCACGGGTGATGTCAACGTGATCGTGGTCATCATCGTCAACATCGTCGTCATGGGTGTTAGTGAACAACGTCATTGTCATTGGCTTCATGGATGGTGCCAACATAATCATCATTGACGTCATCGCCATCGTAACTATGGACGGAGTCGTGACCATCGGCATCACCGTTGTCATTGTCTTCATCGCCATTGTCACCGTGAATGATGTCAACATCGCCTTCATCGCTGTTGCCACGATGTTCACTTTGATAAGTCTTGCCATCATTGTCATCATGGATAGTGTCATCATCATCATCGTCATCATCTTCGATGTCAATCTCACCGTGATTTAATTATCAGCATCATCATCTCTGTCATAGGTATTACCTTGATTGTTATCATCACCACCACTGTCATCATCATCGATGTCATTATCATTGTCATTTGTAAATCATTTTCATCATTGTCACCATCACCGCTGTCATCATAATTATGATCACCCTCATTGTTTTTTGCCAGCTTAAGTGTCATCGTCATCATCATCATGGCTATCATTATTGTTATTGGCCGTATTCACAGTTGTCATCCTCATCATCTGCAATCATAATAATGAATGATGTATTTGTCGAATGCTAATCGCACTTTGTCATCATCACAAACCTCACCTCCTCTTGTCTCGTCGCCAGCTCGGAATATGAGGACTGGAGGCCTGCGCTGGCAAGTCTTCTTCAACCCATCCCCTTCCCAAAAGAGTGAGTGGCTCATCCATCGTCGTGTTCGTCATTGTTTATTTTAGGAACAATCATTCCTACATTTTTGTATTTATTTCTTGACCGGGCAAGATCCCACCCCCGCCCCCCCCCCCCCCCCGCTCAACTGAGCTCCGTGAGCTCTTGCTCAGAAGCGACCTGGCCACCGATGATGGCTCAACGAAGTGGGCTTGTCGTCTTCTATATTCTAGGGTTCTTTCGGTGAAAGTCACGTAGATAGAAAATAAGAATAATAAAACTAAATTAAAAAATAAATTGCAAATAATAAAAGCAAAAAAACCCCACGACGTTTCGATTGCAACACAAGCGGTCTTCATCAGGCTGCTGCTCTAAATGTCCACGTGATGATGGTTAGCCCACTTCGTTGAGCTATCATTTGTGGCCAAGTCGCATCTGACAAAAGAGCTACACGTAGCTCAGTGGGGCCTCGCCTGCGGCAAGTCGGCACGCACGCAGCCCCCGGCGAGGGCGAGGAGGCGTCGTCGCTTCTGCCGGCGAGCATCCGTTTAACGTGCGCGCGTGTGAGCGATAGCACGCACGCACGCACACACGCACGCACACGCACACGTTAAACTAGAGAGAGGGGAGCGAGAGGGGGGAGATGGGATGGAGAGGGAAGGAAGGAGTGTGACGGACGAGGTGGTGATGGAGTGTGGAGTGTGGAGGAGCGAGGGGCTGGAGGATTGAGGAGGGAGGGAGGATGAGGAGAGAGGGGTGGAGGAGGAGGGAGAGGGATGGAGGAGGGAATGGTGGTGGAGGGTGCAGTAGGAGGGAGAGATGGAGGATGGATGGAGGGAGGGAGGATGGAGGAGGGAGGGATGGAGGATGGAGTGGTGGTGGAGAGTGGAGGAGGGAGAGATGGATGATGAAAGAGGCAGATTAGACGATGGAGGGTGGAGAGAGAGAGACGGGTGGAGGAGGGTGCAGGAGGGATGAGGAGAGGCTGGATCCGAGAGTGCTCGCTGTTTGTTTGCTGCTCACGTTGCTGCTTCTCCTCTTGTCTGTCACCGTTTATGTATTTATTAATCGTGTGTTCTCTCTCCGTGTCCCTTCCCCTTTCCCGGCCGCCGTTGCTGCTGCTGCTGCTGTTGTTGTTTTTTTTTGTTATTTACAGAGCGCTCGCTCATGAAAAATTCACGAGGTGAGATGCTGCTACGTTGCGCGTACGCACTGTCACGGACACCGGCACGCACGCACACAGAGTCACGTAATTCGCAGCACAGATGCGCGAGTACACGCGGAGGTCAGAGACGTACACACTCACACGTGTATAATTATGAATACGCAATGTGCACGCACGCACGCGCATTGCGTTTCACACATATACACGCACGCGCAGAGGTCGCGCGCCAAAGGCACAGATCCCCCGTACAGCCCTTAACACGCGCGCGTTGAACAAATGCCCGCCGGCAGAAGCGACGATGCATCCTCACCACCGCCCTCGCCGGGGCTGCGTGCGTGTAAAACAGCACACTATCAGAGTATTGAGGGCTCACCCCGAGCCCTCAATACTCTGATGGTGCGCTGTTTTTGAGTTGTGCGCCTTTTGGCGTCTTCTGGTCCAACACCAGTGGAGACTTAAGGGCTCTAAAGAAAGCCGTCTCGGGTGTGGACCAATCAAATTCAAGGACAGTGCCAATATTATTATCAGAGTTGTCTCTTTTGTTTGCATTTTGACTGCTTGTGTTGTGGTTATTGCAGCCATGATGCCTTGAATAAAGGTGTCAGTTTTTTGTGCCAGTTAAAAGGGTGAAACCTATTACTATAAGAATGTTGGGGGCAAGTGCTGTTAGCGAGCGCCCATTAAGGATAGCACACGGCACATCGCTGGGGGTGGGGTGCGTGGACTGCGAGCAGCGGGCACGCGTGCGCGTTTCAAACGACATTGTCCCGCCGTGTAGCCTTGGCAGGCTGTTGTGGAGAGTGCTGTTAGCGAGCACCTATGAAGGCAACGGCACGCGAGGGGGCTCGGAGTGCCAGCACCACGCCCGGCCGCCTTTGTCTCCCCGGCGCCGATCATTATGATTTACGCGCCGTCAACGTCGTCAGGGCAGCGCGGCGCTACGAACTCGACGGCCAGGGTCCGACCCTCGCTCTTGGCCGACATCGGTGACGAATGCCTGAGTCCTGGGGTCCCGGGCCTCCCCCCAGCGTCGAGTCGGCCTCAAGCGAGGGGATAACTTCAACCCGGAACGCGACGCGACAGCGTTCGCTCGCCCTCGATGAGAGAGGGCGGTGAGCCGGTGCCAAATTTCTTCCCCCACTTTATATGCGGTCCTCTACATATATTACAAGGGGGTGCCACGGTGGCTCGGAGATGTTAACTCCATCACCTGGTGCGCAGGAGGTCGTGGATTCAATCCCGACCCTGACGCCTGCTGCTGTATGTTTGGAGTTTGCGTCTCTCTCTCTCTCCGTGTTCGCGTGGATTTTTCTCCGGGTTCTCCACATGTGGAATCGGCATCGCGCGCTCAGAGTATTTGCCTGCCACAAATTTCCACGCGACGACGATAAGCCCACTTCGTTGAGCTATCGTTTGTGGCCTGGTCGCTCCTGCAACAAAAATGAAGCTACGTATAAAGTAGTTTTAGTTTTGTTACTTATCCGGTGCTGTGGGTAAACAATCTGCCACCCACTCCCCGCCTGCACTGTGCAGGCCATAACTGCTGGCCTGCGAACGGGACTTGCTATACGCGCGGGGCAATCCTTGTCGTTGTCTTTCTCTCCTCCTGCGTCGCTGAAGGGAGATGAAGTTCGTGATTCAGAAGTTCGCCAACGATCCCCGGAGGGAGGTGAGTGCCGGAACGTTCTGACCCCGTGACCCCCCAAAGTGGACATCAGTGAAAAAAAAAAGAGCTTCCTAGTTCATCGGATTTCTCGAGTACGAATAAATATTCTTGGTCTGGTTCAGTGGCAGCGCTCGGCACAATCAGGGTCGACGTTCACGTGGTGTGGTGATAGTCACGACGAGGATAGTGAAGATGATGATGATGGCATGGTCACGAAAGTATCGGTGATGTCGGTTGTGACGACGACGATGATGACAATGATCGTATTGATATTGTTGACAGCATGAGCGTATTGATGATTAGAATCACGATTGTAATAATGATCATGTTGATATGATGACGACGATGATCATATAGATATTGATCACAGCATGAACAAATTGATGATTTTGATTTAAAGCTTTCGTGACTGCAGGGATTCATATTCTTGGTTCTTTCGGTAAAGTCACGTAGAAGGGAAACAATAAAATAATAAAAATATAAAACAATACAATTCTCACGACGTTTCGACTGCAACACAAGCAATCATCATCAGGTGTGAAAACCACAACAAGAAAATTTGAAATTTCAAAAATTTCAAATTTCAGATTTCTTGTTGTGGTTTTCACACATGATGATGATTGCTTGTGTTGCAGTCGAAACATCGTGAGAATTGTATTGCTTTATATTTTTATTATTTTATTGTTTCCCTTCTACGTGACTTTACCACCAAGAATATAAATTGATGATTATTATCACGATTGTAATAATGATCATGTTGATGTGATGACGATGATTATATTGATGATGATATGAGAGTATAATTTTGATGACGTGGATGATTACAGTGATGCTGATCATCACGATGGTGGCGATTATGATGAATGATGATAATGTTGATGGTAACAGTCATGAATGATGATGATGCTGATGGTAATACTGGTCACGATTTCGATGGTGATGACGCTGACAGTGATCGTAATTTTGGTGGCGGTGGTGGTGATGATGGTGATGATGTTATCCTTCCCCACACCTCCAATTATCACAGGTTGGCTACGTACGGTGCGAAAGAAGTTCAACATACGTACGTGAATGATGATGATGATGATGATGACGACGATGATGATCGTGAAGATGTGTGGAAGCATCTATTTGACTCTAACGCCCCCCCCCCCCACGTCTGAATGGACAGGTCCACTCGTGCCTCCTGGGGGTCAGAGCCAGCAAGGACGGGTGGTTCCAACTGTTCAGCCCGGGAGGGGTGGCTTGCGACGACGACGGCGAGCTGTTCGCCACGATGGTGAGCCAACGTCAGTGTTGTTGTTGTTGTGCCACCGCACGCGACGCTCTCTTCTCGCTCCGCACGGCGCCCGTCGCGAACGAGGCGTCCCGTCTCGAGGGGTTGCCCAGGTGAATTATTTTAATTAGAAAAATAATTAACCAGACTGCTCCCGCACCCCCATCCCCCCTCCTCCTCCTCTTTAACTCCCCAGTGGTACACCACGTGTGTCCTACAACCGACTTGTAGACTGATGATGTAGACGCAGAGCAGCAGCTACAATTTCAAATGCAGGCGGTCAGGCCAGCAGATAACCGCGTCGGCCAGCGGAGGAGTAGCGTGTCGCCATCGCCGCGATGCCTCCTCCTTCGTGTTTGCGGACCGGGCCATTATTGCGTCGTTATCACGTTGCACTGCGGTCTCTGTTCTGGATGGCCACAGTCGCTCACCACCACTACTACGTGAGTGTGCAACGGGCTGACACGCAAATCTCCGCTTGATCCTTTACACGACAGGGCCCCGATCGATGGACGTGCGCGATGAAAATAATTTTTTTTTTCAGAATTATTACGAATCATTATTCTGGACCACCTGGCAGGGGATATGCGTGCTTGTATGTTTATTTATATATATCGGAGGTGTGGGGAAGGACAACAAACTTAACTGATTTTTTGTTTAGTTTGTCATTCCCCACCCCGCTTCCGCACATCAAATTAGCACGGTTGGCTACGTACGGTGCAAAATAAGTTCAACATATAGTAGACACTGCCCATAGACTAACACTACCCATAGATTAACACTACCCATAGACTCAAAACTATCCATAGACTCAACACAGCCCATAGACTAACACTGCCTATAGACTAACACCGCCCATAGACTAACACTACCCATAGACTAACACCGCCCATAGGCTAACACTACTCATAGACTCAACACTGCCCATAGACTAACACAACCCATAGACTCAACACTACCCATAGACTCAGCACTGCCCATAGACTCAACACTGCCCATAGACTCAACACTGCCCATAGACTCAACACTGCCCATAGACTCAACACTACCCATAAACTCAACACTACCCATAGACTCAACACTGCCCATAGACTAACACAACCCATAGACTCAACATTGCTTAAAGACTCAACACTGCCCATAGACTAAACACTACACATAGACTCAACACTGCCCATTGACTCAACACTGCCCACAGACTCAACACTGCACCTCCGATTGGCACGGTTGGCCACCTACGCTACAGACGAACTTCAGCGCACGTTTTAACGGAGAGCAGGCGGACTGCAAAGGAGCGGTGGTGCCCATTCCTGGATGTGTAAACCTCGCACCCACCACACGTCTGGGATCTTCATCCGTGTGGCCGAGAGTCACCTTCTCGCTGACCGCACGCAAGACCCCCGTCGCGCACCACAGCGCGGCGCGGCGCGGCTCCTGACAAACTGAACGGGAGAACGCTGGCCCAAGAGAAATGAGTTTTCAATCCGAGAGTCAACGCGCGCGACGTCAATTACGCTTCCTTAGAAGTGGAGGGGGGGCGGGGGGGGGTGCCTCCCCGGGTGAGGCAGTTGCAGCAGGGGCTGCGCCTTTGCCTATTTCTGTTTTTTTTTCCACCTCATTGGCAAAGCCGGCCCCCACTCGCTCCCCACCCTCCGCGTCCGCGCGCTCGCAACGGAAGATTCCCACGAGGGGCAGAGAGAGGGAGAGAGATCCGCTGCCATCGATTCACGCCTCTCGCCGCCGCCTTAAAGGTGGCGGCGTGTACCTGTCGCCTCGCTAATTGCCGGCTATTTTCTGCATCGGCCCCCTTACCCCCCCCCCCCACTACCCCCCACTACCCCCCACTACCACCCACCAAACCCCCACCCGTGACCTCCCGGTTATGTGTCCGAGCTCTCTTTCCGACCGCTCTCTCTCTCTCTCGCTCCTCTCTTCTCGCGATCAGTGTTTTATAGATTTTTTTTTTAAACATTTTTGTTCAACCCGGGCGAGTGCCCCCAACCGAGGCTAAAATCCGCGTTCCCGTCCTGGCCTTCGGAGAACTCAGATCCGAGACGGGGAGGTCGCACCACCGGTGTCAAGAGATGCTGAGGCCGGCGGCTGATGAGGTCCCCCTGGCTTATCGCGGGTCCGGCAACGCCGGCGAAGATTAATCTGAACCGGTCCCGGGCCTCCCCCGTCGGTGCCCGGCGCGACGCGTCAATGTTGGCACCGGGGAGGCGAACGCGTGCCGTGCGTGGTGCTGGCCACCCACCCACCCCACCCCACTCCCCCCGCTCTCTGCGTGCCGTGCCTGGAACGCTTCACGGACGCTGCTCGCGAACGGCACTTTGCCCCGACAGTCTGTTAAGGCTACACGGGGGGGGATCCTTTGTCTTTGTACCGGCGTTGGTGACAGGTCCACAGCCTCATGGCGACCTGCTATCGGACCAAGCGCTTCCTGATGTCGCTCGCGAGCAACAAGCTGGGGCCTTGCATGCTCCTCGCCCTGAGGGGGAACTCCACCATGGTGGAGGTGAGCGTGGGGCCGGCGTGGAGAGACACGGGGAGAGAGACACGGAGAGAGACACGGAGAGACAAGGGGAGAGAGACGTGGAGAGAGACACGGAGAGACACGTAGAGAGAGACACGGGGAGAGAGACGTGGAGAGAGACACGGAGAGACAAGGGGAGAGAGACGTGGAGAGAGACACGGAGAGACAAGGGGAGAGAGACGTGGAGAGAGACACGGGAGAGACACGTAGAGAGAGACACGGGGAGAGAGACGTGGAGAGAGACACGGAGAGACAAGGAGAGAGACGTGGAGAGAGAGACGTGGAGAGAGAGACACCGAGAGAGAGACATGGAGAGCGGGATATGGGGAGAGAGACACGTGGAGAGACAAGGAGAGAGACACGGAGAGAGAGACGCAGATAGAGGCGCAGAGAGAGACGCACAGAGACACGGAGAGACACGGAGAGACATGGAGAGACACGGAGAGAGACATGGAGAGAGACACGGAGAGAGACATGGAGAGAGACATGGAGGGAGACATGGAGAGAGACATGGAGAGAGACATGGGAAGAGACACGGAGAGACATATAGAGAGACACGGAGAGAGACGTGGGGAGAGGCGCGGAGGGACAACTTTAACTCGCGCAGCCGCAACTTTTGTTTGTTCTTTAACTCTATAAAATATTTCGCATTTTTTTTTACGTTTAATTACAAAACGCCGCTTTGTGTGACCGATTCATTCCAGAAAGGCGCCGCGTGTTAACCAAAAATAAATTGACCTGACGAGGCTTGGCAAGAGGCATGGCATGATCGCCGGAGACGATAGGGGGGACGTGGGGAGGTTAGATTCGTCGTGGTGCGCAGCTCTGGGCGTGTGCGTGTGCCATGGGGAGCGGTGGTGCAGCGGTTAGCGCGCTGCGCTTCGAACCCGGGGACCCGAGTTCGATTCCCGCTCATGGCCAACACCAGTGACGATTATCTGAACCGGTCCTGGGCCTCTCCTAGGTCGACCCAGCCTCAAATGAGTATCTGGTGCGGTGTGTAAACATCGCTACTAGGGAGACAAAGGCGGTCGGGCGTGGTGCTGGCCACCCACCCCCTCGTGTACCGTTCTGGCCTTCATAGGTGCTCGCTAACAGCACTTGCCCCTATAGTCTGTTAAGGCTATATGGGGGATCTTTGTCTTTGTTTGTCTGTGTGTGTCTGTGTGTGTATATGCGTGTGTGCATATGTGCGTGTACATGCGTGTACATGTGTGTGCATGCACGTGTGTGTGTGTGGTACGTGTGCCTGTGTGCGTGTGCGCGCGCGTGCATGTACATGTGTGTGTGCGTGCGTGCGTGTGTGTGCGTGTACGTGTGTGTGTGCGTGTGTGTGTGTGCGTGCGTGTACGTGTGTGTGTGCGTGTGTGTGCATGCGTGTGTGCGTATGTGTGCGCGCGCGTGCGCGTGCGTGCGTGTGTGCGTGCGTGCGCGTGTGCGTGCGTGTGCGCGTGTGTGTGTGCGTGTGCGCGTCACAGATCCTGTGCCTCATGCTGGAGTACGCCGTGATCGAGGTTCGTGACTCCCAGCTGCAGATCATCTCGGCCCTGCAGAGCACGGACGAGGGCCGGCGCATGTACGACGAGCTGTGCGAGCGGCAGCGCGAGCTCCGAGAGCTGGTACCGCCTACACGCAGCGACGCAGTGGCACAGACAGTGACACGCAACGACCAGGATTCTACGGATAGACCGTAACAGACTGTGGGGGCAAGTGCTGTTAGCGAGCAGCACCGATGAAGGCCGGCACGGGTACACGAGGGGGTGGGTGGCCAACACCACGTGCACGTACTCATTTGAGGCTGAGTCGACCTAGGAGAGGCCCAGGACCGGTTCAGGCAATCGTCACTGTTGTTGGCCTTGAGTGGGGAATCGAACTCGGGTTGCTGGGATCGTAGCGCAGACGCGCGAACCATTACGCTACCGATCCACACAGACATACGCAGACATACAGAGACATCTACCCTATCAGCTCCTTGCCTGTCCACTGACCTCTCTGCCCTTTGCTACCTGACCTCTGCAGCAGAAGAAAGGGGGGCCCATCAGACTGAGCCTGCCCACCAAGACCACGGTGAGGAACCACAGCCTCACACACACACACACACAGACAGACTCGCACAGTGCGCACAGAGACTCACACACAGAGACTCACACAGACAGACTCACACAGTGCACACAGACAGACTCGCACAGTGCACACAGAGACTCACACACACAGAGACTCACACACATAGAGACTCACACACACAGAGACTCACACACACAGAGACTCACACACACAGACTCACACCGTGCACACAGAGACTCACACACACAAACTCACACACACTGAGACTCACACAGTGCACACAGAGACTCACACACACAGACACTCACACACACAGAGACTCACACACAGAGACTCACACACAGAGACTCACACACACACTCACACAGTGCACACAGAGACTCACACACACAGAGGCTCACACACACAGACTCACACAGTTCACACAGAGACTCACACACACAGAGACTCACACAGACTCACACAGTGCACAAAGAGACTCACACACAGAGACTCAAACACACAGACTCACATACACAGACTCACACAGTGCACACAGAGACTCACAAACACAGAGACTCGCACAGTGCATACAGAGACTCACACACACAGAGACTCACATACACACACTCACACAGTGCACACAGAGACTCACACACAGAGACTCACACAGAGACTCACTCACGTACACACAGAGACTCACACTGTGCACACAGAGACTCGCACACAGACGCACACAGTGCACACAGAGACTCATACACACAGAAACTCGCACAGGTACACACAGAGACTCACTGACGTACACACAGAGACTCACACAGTGCACACAGAGACTTACACACACAGAGACTCACACACACAGACTCACACAGTGCACACACAGACTCACACAGTGCACAGAGACTCACACACAGAGACTCACACACGTACACACAGAGACTCACACTGTGCACACAGAGACACACACAGACTCACAAAGTGCACACAGAGACTCACACAGACACTCACACACGTACACACAGAGACTCACACAGTGCACAGAGACTCACACACAGAGACTCACACACGTACACACAGAGACTCACACTGTGCACACAAAGACTCACACATACAGACTCACACAGTTCACACAGAGACTCACACACACAGACTCACACCGTGCACACACAGACTCACACACTCGGAGACTCACACACACAGACTCACACAGTTCACACAGAGACTCACACACACAGACTCACACAGTTCACACAGAGACTCACACACACAGACTCACACAGTGCACACAGAGACTCACACAGTGCACACAGAGACTCACACACACAGAATCACACAGTGCACACAGAGACTTACACACACAGACTCACACAGTTCACACAGAGACTCACACACACAGACTCACACAGTGCACACAGAGACTTACACACACAGACTCACACAGTTCACACAGAGACTCACACACAGAGACTCACACACAGACTCACACAGTGCACATAGAGACTTACACAGACTCAGACTCACACAGTGCACACAGAGACTCACACACAGAGACTCACACACAGACTCACACAGTGCACACAGAGACTCACACACAGAGACTCACACACAGACTCACACAGTGCACACAGAGACTCACACACAGAGACTCACACACGTACAACAACCGCCATTCAACAACAACTGCCAACACGACGCTTGTGCCAGGCTATGTGCACGTTGAGGCCACGTGAAGTGTCTCACGTACACACAGAGACTCACACACATATACACAATGAAAAACACGTTTAATAAAGAATAATTAAAATATAAAGTAGGATTTAACCTCGGTTACCCCCATAACCCGCAGCCCCGCGTGCTTCCCGCATGGCCACCGAAGAACACGGTGGTGACGTCACAGTGCAGTGGTGACGTCACCGAGCGTGGTGGTGACTTCCCAGCATAGTGGCAACGTCACAACGGGGTGGTGACGTCACAGTGCAGTGGTGACGTCACCGAGCGTGGTGGTGACTTCCCAGCATAGTGGCAACGTCACAACGGGGTGGTGACGTCACAGTGCTGTGGTGACGTCACCGAGCGTGGTAGTGGCTTCCCAGCATAGTGCCAACGTCACAACGGGGTGGTGACGTCACAGGGCTCGCACGTGGTCAAGGAGCCCTGGGGAAAGGAGCTCAGCAAGCAGCTAGCTGGGGAACTTGAGGCATCGATTATTTTTTAGGAGTAGCATGATGATTATTGTTATCATCACCATTGTTGCGAATCGGAAACTTCCGAGTAGCAGCGCGAGTGGCAAAGCGTTCCGGAGGAATCCCTGCGCGTGCGTGGTTTTTATTCCCTCCCCCCCCCATCTCCCTCCGTCGCCAGGACATGGACGTGGCGAAGCTGCTCAGCTCGGGCTCGTTTGGGAACCTGGAGAACCTGAGCCTGGCGTTCACGCGCGTCACCAGCGCCTGCGCCAAGTTCATCATCAAGCTGCCCGCACTCAAGCAGCTCAACCTGTGGTCCACTCAGGTGCGGCCAACCCGGCCCCCTCTACCCCCCCCCCCTCCCCCCTATGCCGCCCCCTCTACCCCCCCACCCCGCACCCTCTACCCCCCCAACCCCGCACCCTCTACCCCCCCACCCCGCACCCTCTACCCCCCCACCCTGCCCCTCTACCCCCCTATCCCTCTACCCCCCACCTCGCCCCCTGTCCCACCTTGTGGGTAACTTTTCAAACGTGGTAAAATTGTACCGTGGTTGTGCGTGGTGCCTGCGTGTGTGGTGTGTGCGGTGTATGCGTGTGTGCGGTGCGGTGTGTGCGGGGTGGTGTGTGCGGTACGTGCGGTGTGTGCGTGTGTGTGGCGTGGTGTGGTGTGTTGTGCGTGCGTAGTTCGGCGACGCCGGGTTGATCCAGCTCTCGGAGCACCTCTCCTCACTGCAGGTGCTCAACCTGTGTGAGACTCCGGTGACCGACGACGGCCTCCTCTCGCTCACCGGTAAAACGCGTGCACGCACGCACGCACGTGAACGCACGCGCACGCACGCACGTGAACGCACGCACGCGTGTCTCGTGGGCGTGTCTCGTGGGCGTGTCTCGTGGGCGTGTCCCGTGGGGTGATGACGAGTGCGTTGCGTGTCTCCTCCTCCTCGTCGTCGTCGTCGTCGCTGCGTGGTCTGGCTCAGCGCTGGTGAACCTCTACAGCCTCAACCTGAACAGCACCAAGCTGTCGGCCGACACCTATGAGGTGCTCAAGGTGAGCACGCCCCCACCGGTCTCTGTCGTGTGTGTGTGTGTGTGTCAAACTCGGCCTCAAACGAGTACCTGGGCGCGGTGTAGTAAACATCGCCACTGGGGAGACAAAGGCGGCCGGGCGTGGTGCCGGCCTCCCCCCACCCCCTCCTGTGCCGTTCCGGCCTTCGCAGGCGCTACTCGCTAGCAGCACTCGCCCCAACAGTCTGTTAAGGCTGCTACGGGGGGGTGTTTGTATTTGTTTGTCTGTGTGTGCATCTATGCACGTGAGTGTGGGGCGGGGAGCGGTAGCGGTCAGTGCACTGCGCTACGAATCGCCGCGACCCGAGTTCGATGCTCGCCCAAGGCCAACACCGGCGACGATTACCTGAATTGGTCCTGGGCCTCCTCCTAGGTCGACTCGGTCTCAAAAATAAGTCGCCTGTTGCGGTGTGAAAAACGTCGCCGCCGGGGAGACGAAGGATGCCGGGCGTGGTGCTGGCCACCGCTTCGCGCGCCGTGCCGGCCTTCATAGGTTCTTGCTAACAGCACTTGCCCCAACAGTCTATTGAGGCTACATGGGGAGGTCTCTACCTTTGTACATCAATGCTGTTGCCGTTGTTGCTGCCGTCTATCACCCCCTAATCCACGGTGGTTCCCTTCTCTCGTCGTCTCGTCCGCAGGCCAAGCTGCCGAACCTGCAAGAGGTGGACATCCGTTACACGGACGCTTGGTGACAGTGGGCGAGCGGGACGGGGAGAGAGGGGGTCGAGGGTGGTGGGGGGGGATAGTGAGAGATAAACAGTTCCGATTGTGGCTGGATGCCACGTGACTCTTTATAAATGTAAAAAAAATATATATTTTTTCCCCCCTTAATTTTATATTTTTTATTTTGCGTCACATTCCGCTGAACAAAAAAACCCTGTGAGCCTGGTAGCCGGCGGCGGCGGCGGCGGTGGTGGTTGGCACAGTATGGGAGCGCAGCTGGTGCATCTGCCAGTCATCTCAGTCGGTCAACCCACGTCTGTCCCGTGACCTCCCGCCGGCGAGGCCTTCCACACCCAGCCTGGCACAAGCGCCGCGGTGACGTCACCGCCGCACAGTGGCCAATTGGCGGCTGCTGTTGGTGGCGGTGGTGGTGGTGGTGGTTGTGGCGGGCGGTTTGGGCAAAGCAGTAACCGCAAAAACTGAGCACGTGTCGCGCGTCGTTGCTGCTGCTGATACTCGTGCTGCCATCAGCACCGCCAATGCCAACATCGAAAACCGCCTGCTGCTGATACCAACACTGCCATCAGCACTGCCACCAATGCTTCCATCTATCGCTTCCGCAACCACTACCACCAACATGTGTCATCGCTGCTCGAAATATCATCAGCAGCAGCAGCAGCACTATGAATTATTTTAATCGCCACCACCAATGCGATTAAACAGTGTTGCTGATCATCGGCACCACCAACACTACCATCAGCACTGGTGAGCTGGTCGCCCTAGAAAAAGAGGCAGTATTCAGTGTGGTCTCATTGGGCCCATATTTATATCGCCTGGTTAAATAAAGGATGCGAAATCATCACCACCACCACCACCACTGATAGTGTCATCGGTCGAGACTGATGCCAATGCTGTCAATGCTATCATCAGCACTATCGTCACCGACAGTGCTACTGTCATCGGTGCCGCCAACACTCTCATCAGGACTGTTGTCACACAGGACTGTCACTACCACTATCATCGCCAACGTCATCACAAACACCATCACGAAAACAAGACAAAGATCCATCCCGTGTAGCCTTAACAGACTGTTGGGGCAAGTGCTGTTCGCGAGCACCTATGAAGGCCGGCACGGCACACGAGGGGGTGCGTGGCCAGCACCACGCCCGGCCGCCTTTGTCTCCCCAGTAGCGATGTTTACACACCGCATTAGGTACTCGTTGGAGGCTGAGTCGACCTAGGAGAGGCCAGGGACTGGTTCAGAGAATTGTCACTGGTGTTGACCATGAGCGGGAATCGAACTCGGGTCACCGGGTTCATAGCGCAGCGCACTAACCACTACGCCACCGCTCCCCACGCCACCACCACCATTTCCTTCAATGTAATCGCAATCACGATTGTCATCATCACCAGCACCACAAACTGCCACCACCGTCACCACCAATAACACTGCCGCCACCATCGCCAACACCACCACCATCATCACCAACACCACCACCATCATCATCATCACCGCCACCATCAGCCTCCACCGTGAGCACTATCATCATTGTCACCATCGCCGCCACCGCCATCATCACCACCAGCAGTGGTGGCAATTCCCGGGCCAATTATCACGGCAGAGATGCAGGTTTACCGCGCTCACGACCTCGATTGATTTTCAAAGACGTGGGGCATCGGACGGCAAGGGAGAGTGGTACGTTCGCGTGTGCGAAGAGCGTACATACCACGGCGGCGGGCATCCGATGGGCACCGAACGATGGCCGAACAAGACGGCTCCGTCGGTGTTCACCGTCCGGCATTCACAGTCGGTACTCACCGCCGCTGTGCCGCCGCTGTTGCTGTTACGACCGTGCAGCTGCTCCCCCCCCCCCCCCATGGCTTTTTCGGGTCGTGCCGCCGTGCAGGTTCGGCACGATGTCCGATGTTTCGGTTCGCGGTACCTCCCCCCCCCCCCCCCCCCAAAGAGAGCTACGAATAGTGGTTAAGAATTTTGCGATTTGCCAACAAAAATTCTTATCGTGACCTTAAATGGGGGGGGAGGGGGCGGGGTGGAAGTTCAATGTTTAGACCCCGACTCATTCATGACATCTGTCCCAGGGTGACTGTGGTCATCCGGCACGCCGCATCCAGTTTACCGCTCACTGTTAGCCACGTTGCCACGTGCGCGTCCGGTCTCACGTGGCAGCCGGGACATTGCCCCCACCCGGCACTATACCACTCGCTGTGCCCCGTCGCTACTGCTAAGTCAAGTGCCACCTGCGTCCAGTTCACCGTTGACCTGTTGAAATATTTCCGCACCGCGGCACATCGCATCCCAAGGTACCTCTCACTGTGGCTGGAGTGGGGGAGGGGCTACCAGTCTCCCCCACGTGAACCACTACTCCATTCCTGCGTCAGAGTAAACTTTGTTTTATTTTATTTTTTCCAGGTCAGTTGGCGGCAGCGTGTACCAAACGCTGCATCACCGCTCCCATTTTTTTCCTGTCGAAATTAAAACACTAAACAACGTATTTTTAGTCGACCAGTTAAGGCCCCACTGAGCTATTTAGCTCTATTTCAGAAGCGACCTGGCTACCACAAATTAAAGCTCGACAAAGTGGGCTAATCACCAAGCGGAAATGTATAGCAGCCAACTCCTCATTAACGCGAAATGTTGATTCTAATTGTGGAAGGGAAAAACCGTGCGACCTGGAGAAAAATCCACGCGACCATGGGGAGAGAGAGAGAGAGATATGCAAAACTCCAAATATAGAGCAGGAATCAGGGTCGGGATCGAACCCACGACCTCCTGTATACCAGGCAAGGTAGTTAACATCTCACCACCATGGCGCGTTAATCCACACATACCTTTCAAATACCTCTCGTGGCACCAGGTGGCATAAAAGCAAACCTGGCAGGATTGTTCATTCCTCCTGTGCTTTCTTCGCTGTATTTATTATTATATATATTAAACAAACAAAAAAGTGTAAGGCGTAATAGTTAAATCAAGGTTTTAGCTATCGTTAACATTTTTTTCAAGGGGACGTATAGAATTCGTAGCATATATTGCCAAGCGCAGGAAGTGCAATACCCGTGAACCACAGTTGTGGCCTGCATTGCGCATTTATCGATGGAACTGTCCGATATTTTATATCCGATACCCGACTTTTTTTTCCACTGGCACATCCGAGGCGAGCCAGCGGGGCTTGGCCCTCGCGGTTTCGGGCGGGGTGTTTTTTTTCTTTTTCCACTGGACATTTGCCAACCTGAGCCATAACCGAACCGCGATGACACGCCAGCCTGACAAAGAAGACGTTCGATTAGCGCGCTTGAGTACGTAGGGTGCGAAAGAAGTTCAACATGCGTGCGCGCAATACGTCTGAATCCGGCGTGGGGCCAAGCAGGGCCAGGGACGGGGTTTAACGGTCCGTCGGCTGCGCGTTACTCGGTACGCCCGTGTGCGGACACGTCATTACCGAGTCGCCCACGCGCGTCTCCACTCGTTCACCGCGTGTGACGGCACGCTATGATGGCACGGAGGGCATCACAGTGTCGCCCGCACGCGTCTCCACACGCTCGCTCACCGCATGCGACATCAGCGGCACGGCACGGCTTCTGCGGTGGATATTAACGATGCCGGCCGCCATCCTGAGCTGCCGTCGGGCTGGCTCGGCTCGGTTGTGCGGTGGAAAAGATAAGATGTGTGCCGGGCATTGAGCGTAATGTCGAGACGGTGTCCCCAAAAGGCCGACCTTAGCTTTATTCTAATTTGCGCACAGGTGCCCATCAAGGTATCATTCACCGTCAATGTGTTTCTCATTGGGACGCAGTTTGAGCTACGGTTGGTTTAAAGTGAGTGTGGTCCCCGATTTTTTTTTATTTATCTGAAAAAAATTGGACCGATGTTCGGATAATGCGTTTTAAAAAATAATTTCGAAATTATGACGTCTCGGGAAATGACGTCACTTATGAAGAAAGGCCATTACCCGAAACGTCAGTTTTATATATATTTTTAATTCCACACAGTTATTGACGAATGTGAGCTATACGAATTTTTTAACAACCCAGTTCCAACCATTGTCTTAAGTAGAATTATTCAACGTCTGGATGATACCTTCTTGACACCCTAGATCATTACCGTGTGTGTGTTTCATCATCATCATCAACAGCAGCGGCCATGCTCAATCCACTGCTAGATGAAGGCTTCTCTCGCAAGCCACCATCACCGTCATCTCTCATCACGAGTGTGCCAATTCACCGGGCACTGGCTCTATACACTCACCACTCACCGCTCACCACCCATCCACTCACCGCCCACTCACCACCCACCCACTCACCGCCCACTCACCGCCCACTCACCACCCACTCACTCACCACCCACTCACTACTCACTCGCCACTCACTCACTGCCCACTCACTCGCCACTCACCACCCACTCACTCGGCTCTCACTCACTCACTCGCCACTCACTCACCCACTCACCCACTTGCCACTCACTCACCCACTCACTTGCCATTCACTCACCACCCACTCGCCACCCACTCGCCACTCACTCACCACCCACCCACTCGCCACTCACTCACTGCCCACTCACCACCCACTCACTTGCCACTCACTCACCCACTCACTCGCCACCCACCCACTCGCCACCCACTCACTCACTCACCCACTCACCCCTCACTCACTCACCCACTCACCACCCACTCACTCACCCACTCGCCACTCACTCACCACCCACCCACTTGCCACTCACTCACCACCCACCCACTCACCCACGAGAGCCGATTCCATTGTCGCTGCATCTCCGCTACGCGCGTGCCCTGCACTCCCAGGTTCCTCCCGACCGCAGACCATCTCGGACCCCTTCCGGGTGTCCCTCGGCTTGTAACGGTGACATTGCGAACGATGGTTGATGGTGTTAACGATTGTGATGATGATGACGACGACGATGATCGTGATCTTTAATGGGGACGCTTAATTGAAGGTCAGACATCATCATCGTGAGTTTTGTTTACCTCAGAGGCATTTCCGCGTCGTGTTAATCTCCATTAGTCGAAGGTAAACAACAACCATTTACGGAAATTCGTTACGACCAGATTGTCCAGCAATATTCTGAGGATAATTATTTTGTATTTATTGAAATAAATTGTTCAGTTGTCTTGGCACTCCCCCCCCCCCACACTCGCCGCTCCCCCCCCTCCCTTTTCGAAGTGTCACTATTGATACTGTTGTTTTAGAGTAATTACACGCACGTAGAAGTTTATCGGTTAATCTCAACTTACCAAACAAAATTCCAATGACGTCGAGTTGAGGAATTTGTACAAATTTTACGGCAAAAAAGCATCGCTATATTTCACCTTATTCGACCTTAAGCTTTTAAAAAATAAATAAAACGTATTTATATAAAAAAAAGTCCCAGATTTCAGATATGATAAAAAAAAAATATATACAAAAAAAATTGTGTTCAATTTTAATAATAAAAAAAACATTTTTTTTTTACACCCTCGTAAATGTATAACTTTGTCGTTCCACTGTTGGATGAAAGCCTTTCTTACCCACACGTCCGTGTCGGTCAGGGCCCAGGGGGGGGGGGGTGGGGAGGCGGAGGAGTGGTGTGTGGGCTTGTTCGACCATACTTCACCACTGCGGTCAGCGCGGGTTGTCCA